TTTTCTCATTGCATTCATTACATTGAGGTCTGGGGCCGACCTTGTTGTCGTCGGCGACATGCTGCGCAACACGCAGGTGTCCCACTCAAATGGTAAGGCCGAGTGAGCCGGCCCGGCTATTGTTGAGAGGCTCAAGGGTTGTGGCACGCCGGCGAGCCGTGCAAGGGTTGTCGGGAGGCCGTTGCTCACGTGTGATGATGACTTCGGGGCCTGCGCGGTTGGTTCAAGCCCCAGCAGATGTTCGCGACACTTGCACTTGAAAAGCTTTTCTTGGCCCTTTGTCGTGGAGACTAACATACATTAGGTTTCGGCAGGCTCATCCTTTGCTGTCAATGCTGTACATGACTGTACATAGTAGTATATTAGCCATATTAGTATAAACTAATATATGTACAGCGAAGCCGACAGAAGTTTGCACGTGAGACCTCGGTTACATAAGGACTTCAATTAGGTTTATCAGCAATGTGAAAGCATTCTTGTCTTGCTGACACAGGTCCGGAAGGAACTTGTTCACCCTTTGGGCACGAGTGGAAGTATAATACTGCGATTGGCTGGGATGATGAAGTGTGGAGTGCTGCCGTCAAAGGGTGAATCTGTCCCCTCATAGGGGTTTCCGATGGTTTCCGGTCTGGTTTCCGATGGTTTCCCGTGGTTTCCTATGGGTTTCCCATGGGTTTCCTGCGGTTTCCTCCAGGTTTCCGACCGTTTTCCACACCTTTGTTGTGGTCTGCTTTGGTTTCCCATGAATTCTAGATAGACATGCTCCTCAAAAGTGAATCTGTTCCCTTTTAGGGTTCCGGTCTGGTTTCCCATGGTTTCCTGGGGTTTCCTATGGGTTTCCCACAGATTTCGTGCGACGACGGATCTTGGCAATGCTTGCAATAGCTCGGGTAGTCATGACTGCGTTCGGAGCAGGCCAAGACATAATCGAAGTTTCTGAAGCAGGCGGCGAGGTTCACTGTAGTGCTTCCAACAAGCCCACTTCCGGGTCCGGAACTTGTCAGGATTGTGGTGGCCGTTGTGAAGGGGCCTCCAAAGTATTACAAGGTGCCCAGTGGGCCCACTACGCAGTTAAGGTTGGGCGTGTGGATTCACTGTACGTTCTGCTTGCCGAAGCTTAGGTTAATGGGAATCGGCCGACTGAAACCTAAATTTAAGCACAGTGGCCCCGCTGATCAGCCCATTCAAGTACGCCCACTCTAAGCCCGTGTAAAGTGTTGTGCAATTCTCGATTGGCCCTTGCAATGCCCCTCCATGGAAAGCTCCGCGTTTTGCTATTGCTGGTCTGCCTGTGCACGGCCTCTTCTAGGTAATACGCTCCATCGTAATGCGCCGTGGCGCTACGCCCTGTACAACGCATGCAACTGCAGAGCCCAAGTTTTAATCCATTGCTTGGCGGCACAAGAGTCCAATCAGAATGCTTTGCCCAACGGCACCCGTCCAGGACAGAACAGCAATAATAGCAAATGGGGAGACTTACAACGCCTAATTCTAAAAGCCTGCTTTTTGCCAGCACTTGGCTCACCAAGGGCTGCGAGCTCTCTGCCACAAGCCGTCCACTCCTTGTATCATCAGGGCGGAAGATGCCATCCCTAACCTCCTTCAGCAAGCGCTCTACCACCATCAGTAAGGGAGCCTGTGCATCTCGGCTGTACACAAGATCCATGCCCCCTGCAGCGTGATATCCAAGGCGCTGTAATGTTGGGGGATCAACTCCCCGCTTTGCTGCCCAAGAGATGATCGTAGCCTTCATCGTCCCCCTCTGCATCTAGCAGCATCCTTAGCCAAGCCGTGGCCTCATCAGTGTCGAGGGCTCTTACTGTGGGCCTTCCGTGCGCATCTGGAGCTGGCATGAAAGGGCACTTTCCTGAACTCTCAATCCCAAGATCCATCCTGCAAGCCCTCCAAAGCTCGCCGTAAGGCCTGAGTCCAAGTGATGGAGCCACCGCATGCAAGAACTTGTGACGCTTGCTCTGCAGCCGGCAGGTCTTATGCACACCAATTTTCAATTCGATATAACACAGCCCGGACTCCGAAACCTCATCCCAGATTATACTCTCTGTGTGCTGCACATCACTCCAACGGCACCTGCTGTATGCACACACCAACGCGGCTCCTGCAAAGGCTCTGCACCACACATCGGCGTGCGACTCCAGAACAGTGTGGAGCGTGTATAGCTGCTGCACAGAAAGAGCTGGAGCTTGCTTGGATTCCTTGAAAAACTCTGAGGTGCAAATACCCTTGCAACGGCGACTATTGCAAATCGACAAGAGCTCCGAAACCCCTACGACATGCAGCGTGAAGTTCAGCACCTCCATGGTTGAAGACAGGCGGCTAGGTGGAGCCCCATCCCGCTGCAAGCACTTCAAGAACTCATACACGTCTGGCTCTGAGCAAGGGAACGAGACTCCTTTGTCCCTTACAAAGTCATGAAGCAAGCTCACGCCCCGGGCCCTCTTCAAGACAGTTGACGGGGCTTTTCCTTTCATGATGTCTCCTAAGACCTCGATCTGATCATCGCGGGACACACAGGCCTCCAAGTGCGACACGAGGAGGCAGGGGCCCCACTGCAGGACCATGCGCAGCCATGTCTCCAACCCGATAATAAGTTGGGCGCTACGCTGTTGCATCCAATCGACGACAGCTCTAGCTTTCAACAACTCTGCTGAAAGAAACATCACTCGAAATTTTCTTGGTCCGCTTAGCAGCTGCCTCCGAGGCTCCAGACACGACCTCAGCCTCGTCTTGCAGAAACACCCTGCTGGCCCTCTTCGCAGGGAAATCCAAGATATCCTTATCCCCAAAAATGAAACCGAAAACTCCCTCGTCCCACGGCTGGGTAAGAACTTCGATGTCGCTCACTGCAGCAGGCATCTGACAAGCACTCCTGAAGGTGGATTCAACATCCACAGTAGTACCTTTCAAGGGATCAGCGGCAGGCTGCAAAACAACGAGCGGCTCAGAATCTCGGACCTGATTCCGCCACATGCTCTCAGGACCAAGCAGCTCACTTAAAGCCAAGTCTTCAGACACTGCTTGGGCAGGCAACGACTCAACGACTGACCCATGCTCTGATGGCGGCATACCTGTTCCGTCGGCAGCACACCGGAAAGCGGCAGCAGCTCTTTCAAGAGTGTGCACCGGATCATCTCCAACAGACGAAGGGGCCCGAGACACTGAGCCCTCTGCACGCGAAGCCCAAGAAGCGGCCCCTGACAACACATCTTCATGCAATGCAAACCCCGGAGCCTCAGTTGGAACCACCCCACTAATCACTGAGGCAGGCGGTACAGGAGGAAACGGCGGGGCAGCCGGCTGATCTTCCTGCTCCATTACTGCGGGCCCGGCAGGACCAGTCCATCTGACCTCCCTGTGAGGGAGGTCGTCACGCCCTACAACACCGGATTACAGGAGCCTCCGGGCCTACTAGAAAGCAAGTACGGGCCTCTAGGAAAACGAATTTCGCGCCCGTCACCTGGAAGGGAAAAGGGCTTGAGCCAAAATGGCTACGGCTGATCTTCCTGCTCCATTACTGCGGGTCCGGCAGGACCAGTCCATCTGACCTCCCTGTGAGGGAGGTCGTCACGCCCTACAACACCGGATTACAGGAGCCTCCGGGCCTACTAGAAAGCAAGTGCGGGCCTCTAGGAAAACGAATTTCGCGCCCGTCACCTGGAAGGGAAAAGGGCTGCAGAGCGAAATACGATCACCACCAAAAACAGCATGACGGTAAATGACATGCTGCACATGCAAGCTAAATTTTGTCACAACAAAATTTTTCCTTCAAAGCTGGAATAAGGTAACATCCCCTCATATGTGGTCGGTACGGGGAGTGTGTACAAGGCAGACTTGCGAACAGTTACGAAGCCAAGGACTTGAAACCCAAGCCTGTTGCAGTGGTCGTTGACCCGGTGGTGGGATGTGACACAAAGCTGTGCAATGTACTAGCGGGCGCTTGTCATTCTTTCGGGGGTGAGTGGGGCGTCAAGCACCCAATTTCAGAAGGCCATGCCAGCACTCAGCAGTCTCTGCTGAAAGACGTAGTAAGATTCCCCGTCACTACGAACAAAACAACTTGGAGCAAAGACGTGGAGTAACTGCATTCTGCAACAACGTCTATAAAGGTACTGAACGGAACCTTCGTGGATTGAATCCAAGACTGACACAAAAAATGAAGTCAACGAGATTCACCACTTCGCTGCTACTTATACTTGTCAAAACATCCTGGATACTGAACAGACTGTTCCACTTTCTTTAGGAACCTTTAAAAGGGCCCAAGCCAGGCCTTGACGCGGAGGTCTACGAGGCATCCTTCAGCCTTGCGCTCTCCTGCAGGTCGAGGGCTCTGGTAGGGGGCAGTAGGATTCATTGCTACTCAGTGATTCAGTAATACTTAATATACTATAACAAGAAGAATAATAGAGACTATGGGGTCGAAACTGGCTACTGGCTGAAAAGCTTGAATCATTCTAACACGCAGGCAGCGGATCTCTGAGGCCTCGCGAAAGAGCTGGCGAAACCTTGGCATGGGAACCAACCATCCATGCACGGCACCATGTGTCTTTCGCCCAGGCAGAACAGACAAGCGTGCTGCAAAAACACAAGCCATAACCATGCGAATTCACGGTCTGAACGCAGATCGCGCAAGCAACTTCCGGAAACTTGAGGCAGATTCAATGCATTAGTTCTGCAAGTTAAACCCTAAACGTCAGGCGTGGAGGGGGCGGAAGGGTTCGGGGGGAACGGGTGTTGCTTCAGCCGACTTGCTCTTGGGCTTGTAGGGCATTTTAGGGTGTAGGGCTTAATTAGGGCTCAGGTGAACAGCCCCAAACGCCATCAAAAAAGTGACATGCGAAAGAAAGCCAACAGCAGCAGGAACGGGAGAAGTGGACTCGATGACATTACGTTTTGCGCGCTACTCGTAGCAGTGCAAACGTCTGGTAAAAAACTACCAGCGAAGCGGGTGGGAGCTGCGGGCTGGCAGGTTCCTGAGGCCTCGCTCACATCAGCACGCAAGGCCACTCCGGTGGCGACTTCCACGAAGGGTCCACAAATTTGATGATCTGTGACATCTGGTCCTTAGTCCACAACTCTGCGTCCACCGGCTTGAGATTCTTGAGGACCCCCAGGGCGCGGAGCACGTTCATGGCGTAGAAGAGGCAAAAGCTTTCCTCGCCATTCTGCATGGGGTTGCGAAAATCAGACGCCCACCTGCGCTTAAGATCTTCCCTGGCGATATCGACCAACTTGTCTGCAGTGGCCATCGTGATGCCGCAATCATAGAGCTCCCACGATTTCCAGCCCGTGTACTGCTTGATGTTATGAATGAGCCTGTACTTTTGATGGTCCACTATGCGCTCGATGAGGACATAAGCATATGTCTTCCCCGGTTGGTTCGTTGAGTAGAAGCCGCCGGTCAGAAGCACCATCGCGTGCCTGCCCGAATTCACGACAAAATGCACCCGGGCTCCAGACGCGCTTGTGCTACCGACAGTCCATGTCTCGCCTGACTGGCATCCTGTCCCGATGATCTCGATGGTCACCAGGCCGGTGGCCTTGACGTTGTTCATGTCCACATCCCACTCGAGTGCGTTCGTGTCGATGCTGCCATTTGGGGTGGAATGATGACTACCCATGGCTTTGAGATCGTCTGCCGTGAAAAGCAAACTGTTGGGATTGCGGCTCGTGATTGAACCAAGACGGCTTCTTTTGTTTGGTCATCGACGATAATCGGGTCTGAAATCGGAGTGGGGAGAGGATGATCAAGGCTATGGATGCAAAGATGTTTTTCGGGTGACGATGCTCTCTTTCCAAGAGTTGGGTTTAGGATTTAGGCCTGAACATGCCTCCCGCATTATGGTCCGAGAGTCCTACATTGGTCCGATACGTTCATCATCTCTGTGTGGAGACGGTGTGGAGAGTTCGAAAAACAGCTGCAGTCTCCAGTATCACTCTAGATCCTTCAGAGGAGCTTTACCCAAGTCTACAGGCGATCTCAGAAGGCCCAGCAGCTCCGCGAAGTGGCAGAATCAAAGATGGGTGGAAACGATTTTGAAGTGACGACCCAAGGCACGCGCCTCTAAGTTACGCGCCTCTAAGGTACACAGCCTGATCAAAAAGAGGGGCTGATACAGACAGAGCTTTAGTGCGGAGGTCAAGTCCTTGGCCGCGCCGGGGAAGACATGCGACCCCCCTTTGCGAGTCAAATCTGGCTGAGGCACCATTGCCGTGGTCAGCTCAAGATGCCTGGGCGGTTTGACGTGTGCTCTCTTGCCCATTACAACGCCTCAAACCACAAGATGCTGCCAAGCTTGGGATTTTTCAAGATGTCCAGATGTGCCCCTACTGAACCCGCTGCCTTTATATAGGCTTCGGCCAAGGCACTCTCGTTGGCCGCCGCTACAAACGTCAGCATGGCGAAGGCGCTGATACTGGCGGGCGCTGATGCGAGCCTGCGTCGACAATCGAGAAGCTCTTGACTGCATCAATGGCCCGCTGAAAACGTCGGCTTCCGGCAGTTCGAGAATCTGAACTTGCGCTGGGAAATCCACCTAGAAACGACAGTACAGGGCTGGCTTTTTTGTCGAGGGGAGCCTGACACTGCCTTACACTTTAAAGCAGAGGCCCTAGCTCACGGCTTTCCCCCCAGCATCCACCAGCCTCTCGGCCCCAGTTCGGGCTCCAGGGGCTCGTCGTCCAGGTTGAGGGCTTGGGGGCTGGCTCTGGCTCTGTTTTGCTTTTCTTTTTTCTGCATTCACCCACTGCTTCTCTAGGTTCTTGCAGGAAGGGCTCTATAACACATGTCAATTTATCATTTAGCCCAGAGATCTAGATGTGCGGACATCTAGAATGGAATCTAGAAATTCTGGTGGAGTCATGTTTCTGGAGGACACCCTTTTCTTGTGCAAGCATGCCAAGAAAGTACTGGCTGGGCATCATCTGTCCTGACCGCAAGAAGCCAGTACCCGCTGCTTTGTACATCTGCTTCTCACCTGTATTTGGGCTGCGTGCCCTTCACCTGCGTCGAGGCCATTGAGGCACATAGTCGGCGCTGTCCTGAGGCCGTTTCCAACCAATCAAGCTCCAAACGGGGTTGCGCTCAGTGTCAAGAAGGAAAGGGAATCGCTGGCCGGTCAGGAAGACGTAGAGGTGTCTGGCGAAGTGCTGGCAGTTGTGACTCGAAACGGAGTATTTGGGGTTGTCGTGGCACCAGGCCTTGCATTCCTCTTGTATCTCCTGCGGCGATTTCCGTGTCCTGGAGCGCATGTTCACGTAGCCACCAATGCCTGCGTTTTGTTCTCCGTAGTCGTGCAGCTTGCGAGACCTCGATGAAACTGCTACAATGAATGGAGCTCTTCCACACGACGCTCTGAAACCCCTCCAACTAAGAGCAGCACTGTCCCGGAATGTTCGGACCAGCCACGACGCCACGGGGCCCCATGATCGTCTGCTGGGCCTTTAGCTCCCCTTCGCCTTTCACTTCCCAGCACTTGGCGTCCGACGGGCACACTCCCACTCCAACACCGTAGTGCCACGCAAGGCCAGTCCCCTTGCCCAAACCTTAGGACGAGCAGTCACAAAGCAGAACCTGTTCGATCTAGGCTAGGGCATGGAGAAAGCAGTTCCACTGACAGACTGCGGCATTGCTGGGCGATTTCCCTGGGGCTTGCACACTCGATGCCCAGGTAGACAGTTTGACCAAAAGCTTTTCGCAAAACTTCATCGAAGCGGGATGGGAAGTCCTGGTAATCGGGTTCGGCCTTCAGAATTTCCAGGAGCTGCTGCGCCGTGCACATGGACGTCCGGCTGGCAGCTTGACGAGCTCCATCGTCGTATTTGATGCCGACCGGACTCATCTGATTCCCAAACACATCGCGGCTCAAAAAGAGCTCCAGGCTGCCACCATGGCCGGCGGCGAGCATGAAAGACTGGTGCTCCATGCCGCCATAATCGAAGGCTCCAGCTCCACACAAGGCGAGTGAGCCTGTCTCAGGGGAGCTAGAATACCATCTCGGCCAGATCTGGAAGCCGTGTGTGGAGAAAGTGAACTGGTGCTCATTCAGCGTCACAGTCGGACCATCAACATGTGCATCTTGGATGTGGAAGGAAAGCTTCGGGGCGTCCTGTGTCTGCAACGATCTCATGGCCAGACAGCTCCGAGCTACAGAAACCCTATATGCGCAACCCTCAGAAGAGCTCTGAGCCTGGCTGCCGGCGGGTCTCAAGCAATTGCGACAGCACACAGGCCGTTGGAAGCCCGTGGCACCTCCATGCTGGCCACAGACTTTGGCTGCGCTGCAAAGCCTCAGCTCCGCAAGAACCAACGGTCCGAGGGCGGCTGACAACAAGAACCAGGAGGAGCGCAATGAAGCATGCGACTGGGCGCCAGGCTGGTGTTTTGCGGACGTTCCCATCTGAAGAAGCGTGCACCAGCACAACATCACCTGAAACTGCTGGGGTTCGTTTCAGGCTTGACTTTGCAATTTCGGATTAGGACTGGATCTCGCCGCGTGGTCTGAGTCTAAAGTGCACCTGCTTTCCCACCTCGCCTGCGGCTCATTGGCGAACTCTTGGGCTAATTGGTGGCCTTCTGCGGAGGTCCACAGCCATGGAGCTCCGACTTGGGAAACAGCTGATGCAGGCTAGCTCAAATGCAGGAGCAGAAGCGCTATTTTGGAGGGCGCAACAACCAAGGAAGCCCGCGTATCAGGGATACGGACGCGTTGCTCCTACTTCCGGGGCATATGGTGCATGGCATGCAGTTTCGTAACGAGCTGAAACATCTAATGTCTTTAAAAAAAATTGAATGGGTAACTGCGGAAGATTCTTTTTGCAAGACAAGCTATCGCAATCAACTGTTGAATGTTCCAGTGTGCATGAAGAAAACAAACTGCAAATGTGCTGCCAACAAGAAGGAGGGACAGGCATCGATCGATGCAGTGTCTCGCCTACTTTCGCCAGGCTTCTTCATATGGTGGAATACTATTGTGATGAGTTAAGCTACAAAACCAGAAAAGCAAGGACGGCATACTTATAAGATAGCACCGAAATATGTTGATGCGATTCTTGAAGAAAAGATTTGCACAGTTCAACCTGTTATGATCGCACTGTGTGCTTGGAAATGCTAAAAAAGGCAACCTCGAAGCAGTTGCAACCGAGCCCGAAAGCATATGAATGAGGCAATGCCAGTTTCTTTCTTCGGCCAGTCTGTGATTTGTGCGTAAGCCTAAACTTTTTTGTTGACCAACGGTTAAAGCATTGCTGGTTCTTCTCAACTTGTGATCAGTCACCTTGATTTGCATGAACATGGCAGCTAGATTGTGAAAATTGTGACATGTCATGGGGTGAATATGCTGCAGGAAACCCTATGTGTAATTTAATTCTGCCATCTAAAGAACCTAATAAGTTAAAGTTGTTTTTCTTTTTCCCGGCAGATTATTGGCCAAACCGCTGCAAAAAAAGAGCCCCTTCTTTTCGCTACAATACTTCTGGAAACACATGTTGTGTCGAGGCTTTTAATTTTTATTTTTGACACTGGCCAAGAATAATTTATTTCATATTAATATCTTGAGCATAAACGGCTGCCGGATTAGGGATCATACTTAGAAGCTTGGGATTTTGGCTTGAACGCACAACCTCAAACAAGCACAAAAGGGTACTCAGCTCTTGCAAGGCTCTGCTGTTTTTCACCGGCGGTGACAAGGGGTACCTCTGTGCGAAGAGGCATTTAGCCTCATACCTGCGACTACGGATGGCGGAACAATCATCGCCTGGCGGAACAATCATCGCCTGCCAAAGAATGTGTCTGTTTGGCGGGACAGTCATCGCCTGCAAAGATATGTATGAACCGATATCAAGAAGTATCCCCCGAAGTATCCCAAGAGGCATTCAGCCTCAGGAGACTGGTGCGGGTGGGTGGGAGAGAAAAATCTCTGCAACCTTACATGCGCAAGGTCATCAGCTTGTTCAGTAAGCAGATAGCATGTTATGTCACTTGAGGCTTATGCACGACCGACTTCAAGCTACCTTGAGGAGGCGAGCGCGGGTACAGAAGATGCAAGATAGCACCACTTGGCGCTCATGTTGACAGAAAATTTTTCGGCAGCCGTTTCCTTTAAAAATCAAAGCCCGATTTTTCAAGGAAGTTCAAGCTCAAGATATTAAGGGACTATCAGCGCACGCACTGACGGCCTCCTTAATATCTTGAGCATAAACGGCTGCCGGATTAGGGATCATACTTAGAAGCTTGGGATTTTGGCTTGAACGCACAACCTCAAACAAGCACAAAAGGGTACTCAGCTCTTGCAAGGCTCTGCTGTTTTTCACCGGCGGTGACAAGGGGTACCTCTGTGCGAAGAGGCATTTAGCCTCATACCTGCGACTACGGATGGCGGAACAATCATCGCCTGGCGGAACAATCATCGCCTGCCAAAGAATGTGTCTGTTTGGCGGGACAGTCATCGCCTGCAAAGATATGTATGAACCGATATCAAGAAGTATCCCCCACTTATCCGTCGTATCACATTACCTAGGTGCACAGGGCTTAGGAACGGGGGCGAATTCTGACACGACTATGTTCATTCACACTTCACGTGAAGGCTTATCTGCTATGTTTGCTGGGTATGGAGCAGTGGGGTTCATTCACACTTTACAGGAAGGCTTACCCGCTATGCCGGTCGGGTGTGGCACCCAGGCGGACTAAGGGAGAGATGTGGCCGACGATCGCGCCGTTGAAGCGAGATGCTGCGCGTTGCACACATAATTGCACCATTCCGTGATGCACCACTGATTGACACGTCTTGAGCGGGGCTACAATACACATGAGTCTCGGCAGGTTTTTCCTCCCGGCCAGTTTTTCCCTGGATGCGAACGCAATTGTGGCAGTGTCTCGAAGTCAGCGGTTTCGAACTTGCCCTCTCCTAAAGGCGTTTCTCATGCTCAGACAGCCCTCGGAAGAGGATCCCAGGGATCGGCCCTTGTCCTAGGAGCAGACCTCACCTTATGCCAAAGAAGGTGTTTCCACCCGTTTGGAATGTGAAACAGTAGTGAAGTTGTACAGGGGCTAAGCCGAAACATTACTTAGTACATGAGTCTGGCTGATCCCGAGCAGGTCTGCAGACCGAAACGTAGCTTGCTTTGCAACGTTGCCTAGGTTCGCTTCCGTCGAGCCACGCTCACATGCTAGGGCGGAAACTCGTAACCAAGCAACCATTCCGGCAAGCTGGCCCCACCCCTCCTGCAAAGACTGCGCGACCCCACGCACGAAAGATCCCTCTGAATGAGGTTGGGATCGTTGAAAGCAAGATGTGACGTAGTCACCACCTCCAAGATGCGATTCTTTGCGTGGAGCAGGACTTCCATGGTGGAGACGTTCGAAGCCTACATGCGCTCTAGAGCAACAAAACTTCGGGACAGTGGTTGTCCTCGTTCTCAGCACCGTCTACCCTAGTGACCTGCACAGGACGGGAACGATACTACGATGGAACTGTCTTCGATCTGACTAGCCAAGCTTATGTAATCGTCGAAGAGATGGACAGCATTGATTACTGTGCCCAGTGCCCGACGTGCAATATCGAGTGTGCCACTCACAGGTATAGAGGCAACGCTCGAGTCGCTCCGAACGGGAGCGACCACAGCATAGCATCAACTTGCGCTAAGGTGGTCGAGGTAAGCAATGCACGCTTCCCCGAGGTCGTCTGGCGAGACAAACACTTGCCTGTACGCACTCTAACTTCGTATGCTTCAGCATGGAGTTCCTGGCAACTTCCGAAGTAATTCGGGCCATTGTGGCCACCGCGTCAAAGGATCGAGGCTTGGAGCTCTTGGTGGTTCGGACGAACCCATCGACTCCACTATCACTAAGGTCAACTATCAAGCGAACTTCCCGAACCGTTCGAGTGGTTTGGACGAACCGGTCGACTCTACTATCACCAAGGTCAACTAGCAAGCGGTCCTTTTCTAGCGGTTCGAACACAAACCTTCTGCTGATTGTCGCATGTGCGGGCAGCCAGCTGGGTCTATCGGCTCAAACAACCACGAAAGCTCAACATCTTCATCGACCTTTAGCCCAGCAGCTTGTGCAGTGGTCCATGGTTTAGCCCAGCATCTTGTGCAGTGGTCCATGGTTCATTGCCCCGGAACGCAACTGCCCGGGGCGCTGCTTTGCTTGTTCAAAAGCACTAGGGGGGGGGTTCTAGTACAGGGCGTCGGACTTGTCATGCGCCCCCCCCCCCCCCCACGGGCATCGCATACAGCACTCCAAAATACGAAAACTCGGATCCCTTAACAGGCCACGCGGCCGAATGTTGGATTGTCTGGCAGGCATCGTTTTAGCATCAAAGCACATCTGTATCACCCAGCGCGCCACTCGGGTCGAATGCTGGTTCATCCGGCAGGCATTGCTTCAGCATTCACATACATGTACATGCACCGTCCAACGGCAGAGGGCAGCGACGGGTCAGAGAGTTTGTCGACCTGTCAGCTTTTGGGATGCATCGATTGAGCGTCAAGCTTTTGGAATGCCTCAATTGGGCCGCTTGCTTGTCAGGCAGGCATTGCTTCAGCATGGCAGGCACTGCTTTAGTATTAAGGTTTATGTACTATCTTAATGCAGAAGGCAGCTACGGGCCGGAGTGTTTGTTAACCTGCCAAGCTTTTGGGATGCCCCGCTTGGGCTGCTTAAGGTATGAGCTCTTTGGGGACCCGGCAAAGCTTTTGGGATGCCTCGTTTGGGCCGCTTAAGCACGACCTCTTCAGGGACCTTTTGGGATGCCTCGCTTGGGCTTGTTAAACTGCTAAAGTTTTCGGGATGCCCCGCTTGGGCTGCTTAAGGTATGAGCTCTTTGGGGACCAGGTCAAGCTTTTGGGATGTCTCGTTTGGGCCGCTTAAGCACGAACTCTTCAGGGACCTTTGGGATGCCTCGCTTGGGCTGCTTAAGGTATGAGCTCATCTTGGGCTGCTTAAGGTATGAGCTCATTGGGAATCAGGCTAAGCTTTTGGGATGCTTCATTTGGGCCGCGTAAGCATGAACTCTTCAGGGACCAGGATAGGCCCCAAGCTAATTCGATTTGGTAACTTCCACTTCCCCTTTTATCCGCTGGGAGCCATGGCCTCGGGTGAGAGGGAACGGCTTATGTGCGGCGC